GAATTCAATGTCTATTATATTGTATGAAATGACCAGAAACTGGACCGACATATAGACGACGAGACAAATAAAATAGATATGAAGACAATCACTGAATTGGATCAAGCGGTTAGTGTCCACCACTTGATTCAGTGTCTGAGTTAACAGTATTTTATATACCAATCGTACGGTTAGGTCAGTGAACAACAGCTAACCCTCGAGAGGGCCGGCGTTCCCGGCTTTTACGTGACCAGTAATCCGACTGAAATCCAACTCCAGAGGTATATCTTGGACTTTATTGTGAGGACGTGTACGGATCAGACACAGCAATAGTGATGTCTATTTTGATATTTATATAAATATTTTTGTACTTCAATTATTACTTAAATAATTTACAATTAATTTGTGAATAAAGTATTAATTTATAATTTATTAATTATAGGAAGCATTTATTAATTTATACCGGTATAAAGATTTAGACATTATATTTATATTATATTTATAACATTCAATTAATTTGCAACAAAGTATTCCGCAATTAATTTAGTTTAAAGTTTAACAAAGTTTTGAACTTTTCTATGAGAGAGAGAGAGAGAGAGAGAGAGAGAGAGCTTTATGTTGAAATAATTATAATAAAAATGCAAATAATAGCGAACGGATGGACACAAGCAATGGTATACTTATATTCAGGTATGGGTTCATTGAAAGAGTGGTCCATTCCAGAGACCTATTGGTCTCAATAGTAAACCTCAAATCCTTATTTAAAGCATACAATGAGTTTTAAAAAGTAAAAATTGAAACCATTATCGCTTTCGTTGACTTTTTGTACCGAAAATTCTGAATTTGGGCACAAATTCAGTTCAAATCGGTCTAAATTTGTGCAAAACTATGGGTTTTAAATAGAAAAGTAAATCAGGTGTCGACCAAACTGTCATACAATAGCACTTTTGGGCACAATTGGAGGCCAATCCTGGCAGCGCTCAGCCCAATGAGCTCTATATGAGTCAAACACTTAATGGACACATGAATTAACACATGATCTCAATATTAGGGCTTTAAATGGGATTAAAGAGAACGAAGAGATCGGAGAAGAAGTTTAGAAGAATGAAAAGCAAAACAAAGACACAGAAGTAGTTCGTTGTCCCATATATTAGATCCCAATAATACACACAAAGCAATCAAATACACGGCCTCTTAAATAGGCTACAAATTGGTGTTCACTTTCTTTTTATAGTGTTTTAGCGCTAAATATGTATGTATTATGACTTAGATTTATATGTAACGGAGCGGCCAACCATACCGGTGCCCACGACCTCCCAGTAACACATATACCGTAATAGTAAACTCGCCTAACATTGAGAGTCCAAATACATTGCGGTCATGTATTTTTGGTGTGCTTTACCTAAATAACACTTTTCCTATGTATTTGTGGTTCACTCCGATCTCAATCCACTTTCCCTGTCCTTACCTTTAAGTCGATTGTCCTTTAGCTGTGATTGTTGTCACACTTTAGCGGAAACTTGTGTTCAAAACTTTCTTTGCTTTCCGCCCACACTTTCACACACTCTATCATATAATCCCTTCTGTGTTATCGGTTGTGACCCAAGGGTTACGCATCCCATCATTGGGAGCAGCTTTTGGTCAAATATATAGCACGAGTAAATGCGAGCAATAGTTGCGCGTAAACTCTTGTCCCCCGTATCTATCCTTTAGCCTAAATATGCATTTTGTCGAAACAGATGAAGAAATACGGCCAACAGTTGGGTGAAGAGGGGATTCACACCTCAAACACAGAGACAGTCAGTCGTACACAAAGAGGGAGAGAAAGAAAGAGAGGCCACGGAGAGGGAGAGTCGGCACTGATATTGAAACCTATTTACCTGGAAATTGAATTTCGGGCACAAACTGCTCGAAAGAGAGGCAATAACTACTCTATAACTTTCACAACTCGTAGAAATGGTCTGAAACAAGTGGTGTGCCCTTCAATTGTGAGCTCATTCTGACCCTCTGTTCCTCAATACTGTCCCATTCACCTACTTTTGTCACCTACTTTGCACTCACCAGTAGACCAGCGCAACCTTCATATCCCGATACACACCGAGTGCTGTGCCGTCTATTGTATATCCCATATGTAAGGCAAGGCCAGCGCCTCACCTGCCAAAGGAGGCTAACAGTGGACTCGACTCAACCAAAGGTTAATTAACGGTAACACATCCTCCCAATGGTTACCCGCTATGACCTCCACCTCCTCTCCACTCTATTATATCACAACATTGTATACATTGTGTGCCAATACATGTGTATATGTGGTATAACTGTATTAAGTTTATCGGTTCAGTCTATTATCGCTGTCTCTCCCCATAACCTGTACTCTTGTACTCCACAAACAGATATAGATTGGATGTGCGCTAATCTAGAGTACAATATATCCATTTCAGTGTATCTTTTGTTCATTTTTATGCATGAATTAAGTCATCGCTTCAAATGAACTCAGAAAATAGTGCTGTGAATAAACTTTTTGTATATTTATATAACTGTTTTGTGCGTATTGTTTGGCCGGGAATATAAAGTATGCCAAACGCTCGTACAATCAGTTTATAAGGTCACACATCCAGTAGTATTGGAGGTACACCTGGAGTATAAGCCAGTGCTCTTACATACAGTGCTAATACACTATACAACAGGAGTCGCCCTTTACTTTATCAGATTATCTCATTTGTATCGCATCTCGTTATACAGTATATAAGTATTACATAACCATTATTTCGCATAACGACTCCGTTTGTGATGAACTGAATAAAAATGTGATCTCTTTTTATGTATTATTGAACTGATTTTATTCCCTAAATCTCTCATTNATATGTATGAACACATGAACACTGGCCTCGAGTTCAAAATGTTGTGCTAAAGACCTGAACCACAAACCAAACCAAATGATTGGTTAATAGATTTTTTGTGTGTTCACTAATATATGGTTTAAAATCACAGCAAATATGTTTTTGATAGTATAGGAGTCGGAATTGATTTTTTGTTTGCATTTGTATTTCGTTTCTTCTTATTAAAAGATAAGTTCACTAAACAGTAGTTTATTGTAAAGATTATTATCATTATTATATTAAAGGATTTTATTTGTAGTTTTAATGATTCAATTAATTGTTATTTAAATGATTATAAATGAATGCATAATTTGCATAAAATATGAATTAATCAAAAAATTAATAATTTTGTACAAAAAAATAAAAACGTTTGCAAACAAACGGGAGAAAACTATTGCTTTCGATATCTTATGAGAAACCGTTTGAATGTCCGGACGAGTTGTCGAAGTGATCGTTTGATTTGGTGACCACTTGTTTGACCCGCTTTTTCGGTCGACCCCTTCCTCTTTTCACTGATCCGGTGATCGGTTTCTTCACAGCATTCACACCACAAGAGCTCTTCCAATATCTTCTCCTTATGGGAAGACTAGGCGTCAGAAACCAATGAGACATTTGTTGATTCAATGATTTTAAGGCGAGTTTTGTTTGCAAA